CTGTCTCCTTACCTGCCCAGACCCGGGAAGTCCTGTTGGCCACCTCCACCCAGAGGACCTGCCTCCAGTGGGGCACCTCACCTTTCCCCACATCGATCCTCCTCCTGGGGCCCCATCTGCTGCTGAAGCCGGAGACTGGCCCTCGCCCCACATCCCTCCCAGCCACTGCGGCTGCTCCCGGGGCGCCCTCTGGGTGCTCACGCAGCCCCTTGCTAGGGCTCCATCTGGTCCGTGCCTCTGGCGATGCCTCCACAGCCCCGGCCAGGTGGCTCCCAGCTCAGAACCGCCCCCTCCACAGGTGCTGCTGGCTCCTGTCACCCCCACCTGGCCTGTTCCCTCCAACCCCAGACCCAGCCACATCGAACCACCCACGCACCCCCATACACCGGCTGGGCTTTCCCGGCTCTGGGTTGTGGGGGTTCCACTGCGCTTCCTGGAATCCCGTCCTGAGTTTGCAGACCCTCCCGGAAGCTCCGGGCTGCAAGTGCCGCTGCCTTCCTGTGTAGCCACAGCCGCCGGCTGGGCCTCCCTGGGGTCACTGAGCACCTCGGTCCCTGTGCCGGACGTCTGATGCCACCTCTGTGTGCCTGCCGGTCTGGCACCCAGGAAATCCCTGCAGGACGGGTCCAGGCCCAAGGCCCCCTGGGCCCCCGTGAGCACCACAGCTGGTGACGCACAGAACCACAGCTGCCTTCTCTGGTCGGGAAGGCACAGCCTGGGGCCGGGGTGTGGGCGGCACAGCCAGGAGCTGGCCCCTCTCCTGAGACACCTCACGGCCACTGTGCTCTGGGAGCCAGGACCCTTCAGCCACACTGACCCCAGGCTGGTGAGCCGCACCTACATCCTACATCCATGTCCCGGAGCACTGAGCGGGGCCAGTGGGCCAGGCCACACCCTGCCTGCACCAGCGTGCATCGCTGCCCATCCCACCCTCTGTCCCGAGCACAGGGGTCCGGCTCAGGCTGAGGAGCTGGGACGGGGGAGAGCTGGGATGCCCAGTGCCACTCAGCTCACAGCAGGGGCCACCAGCTGCCCGGTTGTCACCTGCTTCCTCTGTATGTCCCCGAGCTGACTGCCCACTGTCCAGAGGGGCAGACAGCCTCTCTGGACTGAGCCCCCGAGACAAGCGTCTTGGGCCGCCCTCTGCCACCTGCCCCCCGACAGGGACCCTGCCAGAGCAACGTTTTGGAAACTGGACCGAGACGCCAGGCTGTGAAATCCAGCCCGTCCCACTGCCCTCAGGCCTCGCCAGCCCATTGCACTGCCGCACTGGCCCGGGGAGAGGGAGAGAGGCGCCCAGGCCATAAGCGACTGGCTCAGGGGGAGATGGGCCAGGGCTTGGCACTAGGATCAGAGCGCACCTTGGAGGGGTCAGCTTCAGGGTCCCGAGGCTTCTCACCTGCCGGCGCCTGGCCGCCCACTCTGGCTGGGCCGACACTAACTCAAGTGTCTGTGCTTCTGCTCCAGCGCCCCGCTCCACCCCCCATCAGGCCTGGTCCTCCCCACAGCAGCGGCTGGGGCAGGAGCCGGGCTCAGGAGCCAGCAATGGTCTCCTCTACTCTCCGTGGGCGTCTTCCCACCAGCGGAGCCCCGATCCAGCTGGGCACCCCCTCCAGCAGCTAACATCACTCTCCTCCCCGTCACTGCCTGACTGCCCGGCTGTCCTCCCCGCAGGACGGGCCTCGCCGCTCTCCCTCCTCCCTCCGGAGCCAGCGCCGGGACACCAGCCTCTCCTGGTGCTCACGCCCTGCAGCGTCCCACCTCCCAGGATGCCTCTCCCTCCCGGGCCCCCTGTGAGGGGCGCCCATCCTGGGCCCTCTCCTCTGCTCCCCGTTAGCTCCCAGCCCAGCCTCCATTCACCACACCCAGCTGCCTGCCAGATGTCTCCTCAAGGCGGCCTCCCACCCACTCGGTCCAACCAGGGAGCGTGCACTTCTCCTCCTGCACTCATTCAGCCACTCCACAAACACCTGAGCCCCTGTGACACCCTGGCCCTGGGCTGGGTGCAGGGCTGAGGAGAGCCCAGGCCTGGCGGGACCAGCTCAGATTGGTGCACCGTCAGGCCCAGACAGACGTCCTCCTCCGGCCTCTCTGGGGCTCCCCACACCGCCCTCAGCCCCTCAGGCTCTGCTCCCAAAGGCCTGGCTGACTCCCTCCTTTACTATGGCTTCCTGGGGACTGGAGAGAGGTTACATGTCCTTGTCTAAGCGCCTCCGTCTAAGAAATGCGTCTAACACTCCCTGCTGAGGCTTAAGAGACGAAGCATACAAAGCCGGTATTTATTGCCCACAGTTTTCCAAAAAGGTGAGCTTGCCGTCTCTCCCTTCAGGCCTCCCGCACTCCTCCCCAGCCACTGGGACCCGGGCTACCCTCTGGTTTCCAGGGTCACCAGGTCTCGTGTGGAATCCCAGCTCGTCCGATCCCTGACCCTCCATCCAAGCCCACCCTCTGCCCTCCTCGCCGCCGCTCCCCTTTCCCTCCGACCCCACAGCAGCCTCCCGCCCTGTTCCCATCACATGCCCGACCCTCCCGCAGGGGCCCCTTGCTGGGGACCAGCTCCTGGCTCGGCCGTCAAGCTCCCTGCGCCTCCACAGACGGGGCGGCCGGCCTCCTGCCGCTTCCGTCCCGCTCGTTGCATAGAAGTTGCCGCCTCCAGTTTCGCCTCAAATTCCAGCGCG